TATCATCTGTTTTCCATGGGTTGTTGGCCCATTTCAGTGGGATTTTCATCTACTATAAAAACACAAACAACCAGAAGCAAGAACATCTAAACAGTGGCTGCTATAATAACTTAATCTATGGGTGTAAATACAAATGCTTGGATGGTACTTTAGCAGGTGCATCACATACATATAACAAAACAATTGCAGTGGCTTCTCCACTGGGGCCTATATCCTCCCCTGTCACAGGGGGTTGGCCTGGTCTACAGTATCAGATTTGTGTTCCACCCCTAGGAGTGGGCATTATATCCAATCAAAATTTGCTAGTTGTACATTCACTAGACACACCACTATTGCACCAGCAGGAACATCTTGTTTGGCATGTTGATAGTGCAGTATGTGGGGTCCATCAACCAGAATTATAGGGGACAGTTCTTCCCCAGGCATCTGCATATGGCCTTCTGTCACTATGAAAGCCATCCATCCAGTGGCAGGGAGTTTCCAGCTTAGTCCAAGCTCCACAGCAATTTCTAAATGTAACACTATTTATTTAACTTCAAAAACATTTCATCATCCTAAACATACAAAAAATAACAGAACATTGCAAATTATGTGTAAAGTCTGAGTGTTATTTAACTTTCATTGAAACAGTATTTCTTTGCTGATGATGAAGAGTTTTAAGTGTTTTTATTGTTTGTTTGGTTGGTTGGTTTTTGTTTGTTTTAACAAGCAGTTTAAAATGTACTGCACTTAACTAAAATTAAAAAAATTCCAAACATTCTCATATCCACTGACCACCCCCTCCTTTTCTACAATGAAGAGTTCAGCAAAATGCTATGCCACTATATTAAAAACAATAAGATAACCTGCAGCTAAATGAATGCCCACCAGTGTCATCAGGTCTAGCCTCAGTGCAGCCCCTGAGCTACAGCTCTCCAAAAGGCATCTTCCTGCACAGCCTCTAAACCAGGGAAGGAACATCAAGAATTTGCCTCAGTTCTTTTGTTCTCTTTGAAAACTATAGCTATGTACAGATGATAACACCTCATCCCTTATGAGTTGAGAACACGATGCCAGAAACATCTTCAAATGAGCAAAGGGCACAGAGTAAGGAGAATATGAGAGTACCTTTTCTTTTTTGTTTTTGTCTTGTTTCTTGTTTTTTTTGTTTTTTAAGACAGAGTCTCCCTGTAGCCTCAGCCAGCCTGGAATTCACTATGTAGATCAGGCTGACCTTGATCACACAGAGATCTGCCTACCTCTGGCTCCTGAGTGCAACCATAAAACTGTATACCATCATACCCAGCAGTGAGTGCCTTTTCGTTTTAAAAATGTTTGTCAATATGTAGAATTTGATACAGTTTTACGGTGCTCCAGATACCCATGGCCACTTCATGTAAACCACTAACACTTTGAGAGACTACAACATACATGATCATGATCAAATATTTTAATTAAACTGAATGAGGGACTTAAACATTAACTCAGATAAGAAATGTGTCGATAGCAGTGTGCCCCTAGTCTAAGGCATTCACAAAGAGACAGATAAAGGTTTTTTGGTTTTTGTTTGTTTGGTTGGTTGGTTTAGTTTTTCAGTGTTCTGAGACAGGGTCTCCCTGTAGCCCTAGCTGACCTGGAACTTGCTATATAGACGAGGCTGGCCTTGAACTCATAGAGATCCACCTGCCTCTGCCTCCCAAGCCCTGGGATCAAAGGTGTTCGCCACCATGCCTGGCTGGATAAAGGTTTTTAATTCTACCTCCTTCTTTGATTCTCCCCCTTCCCCTTCTACTTTTTCTGGACACCTTTAGTGGGGCGTTTTGTGCCATCAGACTTTCCTTTGCTCTTATAGCCTGCAACACTTCTCCTTTAACTTTGCTGTCTTTGTGATGTGTGGCTGCTTTTCACTGTCACGTAAACTCTTCCACATCATACCCATCTTTTTTGCAACATCTGCCCCAGAGATGCCAGGGTGTGTGTTTTTGACCTTCAGACAGATAATCTGAACAGAACAAGATATCCAGTCCATGGAATTTGGGGGGAATAGGTCTTTTTTCTTCCTGTCTCCCTTAGTTGGGCCATAATCCTTCATTTCCAATCACAGTGTATTTCACCTGCCTTTACCATCCCATCAGATTTAGATTTTTTTTTCCTAGACATTTCATCTACCTCTCAGAAAACTTGCTGGGAAATTCTGCCAAACTGGCCGGGACCTCTGGGTTCTTCTGTTCTTCTCTGCCTGTCTGTGCAAAGGAGGCATAAGAAGGCTCTGTGCCCATGGCTTCTTCATCCTGACTGTATTCTTCACTAGTCTGAGCAGTGCAGGGCACAATGTAAGCCCTGTGCTCACTGCCTCCATGAGACCCTCCTCCATGGAGAAAGGATTTAAGAAGCTTACAAAAATAGAAAAAAATCACCAAGAAGAGAATAAAATGAGAGAATACTAAACGGGGCCATAATTTAACCATAATGACCTTGTAGCAGTTACTTACAAATTTGAATCTAAGCTTTCTGTCAATGAATGTGAAAAAAAAAGAAATGAGCACCTGGGTGTGATGGCGCACACCTTTAAGTGCCAGTGCTCAGGAGGCAGAGGCAGGTAGATCTCTGTGAAATCAAGGCCATCCTGGCCTACATAGTGAGTTCCAGGCCATCTGGGGCTACAGGGAGACTGTCTCAAATAAATAAGTAAATAAATAAATAAATAAACCAGTCCAAAAAGGCAGTGATGACCAAACATACCTATAGGCATTTTTGATAAGAGAAATATAAACTAGTGCTAAGAAAAAGTAAAGAAGGGGCTGAGGAAATAGCTCATAGTAAAGTGCTTGCTGAGCAGGGATGAGAACCTGAGTTCAATCCCAGAGCCCATGTAAAAAGCCAAGTGTTGTGGTGTGTGCTTGCAATGGAGACAGTAGAGTCCCCATGCTTTCTGACCAGCCAATGGTGAGCTCCAGGCCAATGAAGAATCTGTCTCAGAAAACAAGGTGGATGCCTCCTGAGGAATGACATTCAAGGTTGTCCTCTGGCCTCCATATTCATGCATGTGTACCTACACTCATGTGAACAACATATATATCATATGCATATATGATATATACATATAAGTGTATATATATGAGAGAGAGAATAAAAATTTAGGGTTCAAAACATAACGAAAGCTGTGGTGCACATATCTTTAATCCTAGGAGGCAGAGGCAAGCAGAGCTCTGTGAGTTCGAGGCCAGCCTGGTCCATAAAGCCAGTTCCAGGCCAGCCAGAGCTACATAGTGAGACCCTGTTTCAAAAAACCAAACAACAACAATAACAAAAACAAGCCAAAAAAAACCCCAAAACAAAACAAAGTATAACCAAATGTTTCTCTTGAAGGTAGTCATTAAAGCTGCCCTATGTGATGATACAGGGAGCATCTTTTGGGATAGACTTCTAATAAATGAATCAATGATTATTTTTAGAATTGTTTCTTATAGCTGTTTAAAATGTAAGCATATGACACCATGCCTGACCAAAATTCAGGGAAAAAACTTTTTCTTTCTTTCTCTCTCCTTCTGTGATGGTTTGAATGAAAATGTCCCCCATAGGCTCCAAGTATTTGGATATTTTGTCCCCACATGGTGGCACTGTTTTGGGAGGTTTTAGAAGGTGCGGCTCTCCTGAAGGAAGCACGTCACTGGGGGTGGGCTTAGAGAATTCTTAAGCCTTGCCGGATCTCCAGTTGTGCTCTTGCTTCCTGTGCCTGTGTGATGATGTGAGAGCTTAGCTTCTGCTGCTCCTGCTCCAGCCACCTCCAGCCACCATGCCTCACTGCCATGACGGACTGTAATTCCCCTGGAACCATAAGCTCAAATAATCTCTTCCTTCTATAAATTACTTGGGTCAGTGTTTCTATCACAGCAACAGAAAAGTGACTAATACACCTTCTCTCTTTTCTTCCTTCTTTCTTTCATCTTTTAAACAAGATAAGGTCTCACTGTTATGGTCCAGACTGACCTGGAATTTACTATGCAGCTTAAGATGGCCTTGAACTTTCAGTATTTCTACTTCAGCCTCCTGTGTGCTGGGGTTGCAGGTGTGGACCACCACAACCAGTTCAGAAAAAGTAATTCTCAGTAAGAACTGATATATTGTAGTCTTGCTTCTTAGATCCCTATTAATTCATTTAAATCAGGGCTATATTGTATAAAATACACAATACCTAGCAACACATCTTTCAGGTACTCTTCGTTGAGCAGCGTCTTTGAAAGAACTTGTCATAAATATTGGGTTTTTTGGGTTTTGTGATTTTACTTCCTGGTAAAATGTCTAGAGGGCAACTATTCTATATTCTGTGTTGGCCAATTAATTTAACAGAAATTCATGTTCCATGGCAAACATAGTGGGATAATATTTGGAGGAATTAATAAAGGTTTGCTTGTGTG